GTACGTAACGTACGTACGTAGTACGTACGTACGTACGTACGTACGTCGTACGTCGTACGTACGTACGTACGTCGTACGTCGTACTCGTCTCTCTCTCTCCTCTCTCTCTCTCTCTCTCTCTCTCTCTCTCTCTCTCTCTCTCTCTCTCTCTCTCTCTCTCTCTTTTGGTTTTTGTTTCCGCTGAGTTTTTATTTTGGGTGAATCAGTGGGGATGACAGGCCCCTACCTGTAAAGGGATGCGACTCAAGGACTTCCTAGGAGGTCACCCATCCTAGTACTGCTCTTGCCCAAGCAAGCTTACTTTAAAGTTCGGATGGTATCTGGTGCATTCATGCTAATATATTCGCACCCATCCTAGCTGATTTGCAATAGAGGCTTGATATACTTATGAGAATCTAGATAAGGGCAGTTTATTGTTTTTTCGTTCCATGTTTATGAGGATTAAATGGACTGGTATTCTTAAAAGGCTGAGATGAAAGTGGCTGGTTTTTGTTGGGTATTCGCTTAGTAGAAACATGTGGGAGTCTCTGTTCTGTACCTTACGCCACATCATTGCTAATAAATCCAGGGTTTTGGACTTTCTAGAAGGCGTGCGTTCAGAACCGAGGGTCTTTGTCCTTTTAGGTTCACTGTAAGCCCCAGTTGTTAACTCCATTATTGTTACGACTAGGGATTTTGAACTTCCCTTTTTTTTTGCAATTTTGCTGTCAAAGTCTCAAATATGGTAGTTTCTTCTTCCAAGATGATTGTTATTTGAAATTTTTGAAATTCCTAGACTTGGCAAAAATTTGCAAGTTGAATAAATATTTGAACTTCTGGTTACCTATTTTTATGTTTTCTGAGCTTTGTGTTCTTGGATTTCAGGATTATAATTGCTTTTTGTAATTTGTTAGATCTCCATTTCTGGTCAAGAATGGGAGATCCCGGAACCCAATAGGACTACAAAAGAAACCATAGTTCATTAATGTTCTTTTGGGATTTTATTGGGTGTGATTTTTTTTATTTTTTTTAAAAGTAGGACTTCACTTTCTATGTTTTGTGGGAAACTAGTTGGAATTGGGAGAAGCTAATTGAATGTGATTTGTAATGCAAGAGAGCAGGGCAAGCATGGAGGAATGGTAATTCTTCTCTCAGCAGCATGACCACTGAGTGTAGAAGAGAGCAGAGGAAGGTCATCACCATGTCAGAGAGAGGGAAGGGTAACTGAGTTGGGAGGATGATGATGATGGCACTTGCCCCTTCCTCCTTGGCTCATTCGTGCCCAACCCAAACCCCCATTCTCCAACAACATCAATATCAGCATGAACAACAAGACGATTCCAAAAATACCCTCTCCCTCTCTCTCCTAGCCGAGCGCTCCACCACCACTGCCCACATCACTCAGATCCACGCTCGTCTCCTCCGAATCAATCCTTCAAACCCAGTGAGGCTCTACAACACCCTCATCCGAGCTTATGCTCTCCATTCGTACCCTCGCTCCGCCCTCCTCCTTTACGCGCACCTCCTCCCCCATGCCGACCCCTTTACCCTCCCTTTTGCCCTCAAGGCCTGCTCCTCATCCCTCCTCCTTACCTCCTGCCTCCATGCTCATGCCATCAAGCTCGGCCATCCCGCCATCAACACATTCTTCCTCAACACCCTCATCCACAATTATGCCACCACCTGTGCACGTGTTGACCTCGCCCACCATGTCTTTGACTGCATGATCGGTCGGACTGCTGCCTCTTGGGGTGCCCTCATCGCCGGTTACGAGCGTGTAGGTGAGCCCCACCACTCCCTCCACCTCTTCCAGGCAATGCGACTGCAAGGTGAGCCCCCTGATGAGGCCACACTGGTGAGCGCGCTCTGTGCTTGTGCCCAGCTCGGCTGCCCACGCTCTGGCCCACTGCTACACGCATGCACCATCATCCATGGGTTTGACCCTGCAGATCACGTGAACCTTGGCACTGCCCTCATTGACATGTATGCCAAGTGTGGCTGCATCTCGTATGCCTGCAAGCTGTTCGATAGAATGCCCCTCGGGAGGAGGAACGTGCTCTTGTGGAGTGCCATGATTGGGGGAATGGCCATGCATGGGCAAGCACATGAGGCTCTCATCCTGTTCGAACACATGCGGAGCTGTGGGGTTGTGCCCAATGCCATTACTTTCACCAATGTTCTGAATGCGTGCAGCCACAGGGGCCTGGTGGGAGAGGGCCTGAGGTGCTTCCGAAGGATGATGGAAGAATACAGGATGCTGCCGAGGATAGAGCACTATGGATGTGTAGTGGACATGTTGGGGCGAGCAGGGCTTCTGGAGGAAGCCCTGGCTTTCATGAGGGCCATGCCTATCAAGCCCACTGTTCCACTCTGGCGCAGCTTGTTGGGAGCGGCTTGCACCCATGGGGATGTGGAGTTGGGAGAGGCTGCTATGGATGGGCTGAGCAGGTTAGAGGCTGCACTGAGTGCGTCCGATTGTGTGGTCATGTCCAATCTATATGCACAGGTGGGAGACTGGGAAAAGGTGGGCAAGCTTCGCATGGCCATGAACGATTCTGGGTTGAAGAAAACACCGGGATTCAGTGTGATTGAGGTCGATGGCACCCTCCACAGATTTGTGATGGGAGACAAGTTTCATCCCCAAACACAACACATCTATGACATGCTCCATCAGCTTAATGAGTTGTCCAGATTAGTACCAATAGGTGGCTGAACCTAGCCTATCTTTCAAAAGGTTTTCTTGCTTCCTTTCCCTCAATCCTTTTATTCGTGAAGTCTTCTCCATTCTCCCCATCAATCAATATCATGGAAGCGCTAACGGCTGCTTGAGAAGGTCCTCTTCTCATTGGTGCAGCTAGCTTAAGCCATCTTACCATCAAACTCCAATATCTCTCTACCAACTTTTCTGTAAAGAAATGGAGGATTTAGAAACTATGTAATTTTCTATATGATCTTCTAGAGATAATATGAAACCCAATATAGCAAAATATGCTGATAGACTTGTGTATATAATAATACCTGCCAAACAACTAACAAAGTACGATAATGCAGAATATACTAGTTGGGATTGTATACTATGAGAGCATTTATCTTTGTTACAAGGAGGTCATAATTACTAGTCATTAGATGTTAAATTGGATAGCTTGAAATGTTTCACGAAGTTTGAGAAAAATTTTTTTCGAACTTTGAGTCTAGTCAATGACACTCTTACAACCATCCGATTTGAAATCTGATGGGCAAGAGTAATTGTGACCTCCTTGAATGACAAGTAAATGGTATCTTTGTATACTTTCCCATAGTATTAGAAGTAATACATCTGTGATGGAATAAATTGGCATGCACACTGACCCTAAATGTACACATGCTTCTATGCATATCACCTTGACTCTTTTTTTTTTTAAATATGAAAGTGAAAACACTAATTTGTGCTGGAATCTTGTCTTTCTTGTTGTTGCTCTTTCCAAATACATGCAAACCTCAGAACACCACTTTCATTATGATGTCCTGGGTGCAGCAATATGTTAGAATTATGCATTCCATTAATATACTCGTATTGCACTAGTTGTGTTATTTAATGGAATTCTTTTCAAATACATGCGGAGATCTTGTATCCCGTATAATTTGCTAGTTGTGCAAATTCATGGAACATTTGATTCTGACATTATCAGTTGAGCTTACTTTGTTGTGCTTTCTAATCGTGAACTGTCCTGTTTGTAGTTCCACTGGTTTGCATAAGCCATGAAGGTGAGGTCATCAGTCAAGAAGCTATGTGAATTTTGTAGCATTTGTCCGCCACCGCAGGATGGTTCGAGTACTCTGCACTGTGAATCCCAAGCATAAGCAAAGGCAAGGGATATCTACCTTAACGTTGAAGGCCCTCCGCCTCCCTTGTATGTACTTTCTACTTCACAGTTGTTTCAGCTATCTGTCATATATTAATTAACTCTTCTATTCAGATGACTTGGCTTCTCAGTCTTTTATTGTCATTACTTATTTGCTAATCTTTTATCCGCAAAAGTTAATGCATACAGTGGTTTGTGTTTTGATACATCTCATAAGGTTGCTAGCAATATAAGCATGCATTCCAACTTTCTCTGGAGAATATTACTAAGTACTTCGCTGTGACACGTGTAATGCTTGATCAATACTGGTTTTTTCACTATCAAAAGGCTATGTCATGATCTGCCTTTCTTGGCCGGGCCTCTATCGTCATATAGACCCAAATTAGTGAAACGTATCTCCTCATGTGGATTTTTGCTCGAGATTTAAAGAAAATTAGACTTTGTTCACGTTGTTTTTCAATTTCTGTGCATCAAACAGGAACCTCATTTGGAAGATTCAGGGAGCTCATCAGAACACAATCTAGTGGAGCTGTAAAATAGTTGTTTTTTCGTGGGGGGAAGAGAGGTGAGACACCCTTATGGAGAATTCTCTCTACAACCACACTTCTCCTGTAAGTGAAAGCTTCAGGCGAAGGCCATATCCTTGGGAAAAGATGAAAATCTTATAGAGATCGATGTTTCTGATTAGAGTCACTGGATAAAAGAATGATCCAGCAAATATTAGTGTGCTTAAACTTGAATTATAGGAGAAGCTCTTGTTTTAGAGAAGAGGGGTTAGAGGGAGTGGATAGAGAGAGAATTCCTTTTTTTATAGGAAGAGGATCAATTCAGTTCATTGCCCCTCGAAAACAGCTGTGTTAAGGTGGGGATATCAAATATCATAATCTGAAATCTTAGGTATCCAATGTATTACAACAAACATCTTAGATATCGTGTTTTTTTTCTTAAAAAGCAATACCTTTTATCGAATTTTAAGTAATGTAATACTTACTTCACAACTGTTTGATTTTCATCTAAATTTTATTAAATAATTCATATTTTAAATTCGTTTCCTTCTATTTCCAGTTTCTAAGATATCTAGCTTAATTAATGGCAATTCCTATTTTATTAGGATTTCCAATTCTAGTTCTAAATTCTTTACTGAGCTTTCATGTTCTAAAAACTCCAATTTCTTCTCTCTACTTTATATTTTTAAAAAGTTCTTTAAGTTCTAAATTTTTTATTTTGTTTTCACTTTTTCTTCTTGTCCCCCCTCCCCCCCCCCCCCCTCCCCCCGCCTGGTGGCCTCCTCTTCTTCTCACTCTCTCTACATATAAATGTGTTTGGATGTGCATGTGTGTTTAATCTTTCTCTAGTTTATATTTTCCAATGAGAATCTTTTTTTGATTCCTCATATTCAATCGTTTTTTGATTCCTCATATTCCTTATCTCTATTATCTTTTTGCTATTGGATTTTAAAAACAGAGATAAAATATTTCTAAGGGATATGGATAGATATGACCTTTTTTGGTACGCTTGATTCTTATATTTAAAAGTTAAAGTATTGTTATGTTTAAGGGCTGGGAGTAAACACATATTTGAGTTTAGATGGTGAGAGAGAAGGGAGAGATTTTAGGGAAAAGCGAGGGAAATAAGTCTCACATGGGTAGTTTGAATGTCGTGCCCCAATTGTTTCTTCCTTTAATGCAGCCTGACTTTTTCTGGTGGGGTGAAAATGGACCTTTGTCATGGAACTAGTTCTCCTTGGTCACTGCAGTCTTCATGACTAGAGTGATTGGCTTTGCCTCCGTCAGTTTCAGTAGCAAGCGAGTTCCTATACTTCCCACGAAAGGTAGGAGGTTCAACTAGAGATGGACGTGTGAGTCACTCCAGGCTAAGAAGCCCTCGGCATATTTGGGTGGACCTACGTCCTTCCTCTCTCATTGACATTCAATGCTCGAATATTTGGGACCAAATGCAGCGGTGGCACTGATCACGCAAAATCCTGAAGCTGATTTCGATTTAATATCTTGATCCATGTTTCAAGCATGAAGTTGGGAGTGAACACTGGTGACAAGTACCCCCTCCCACACCTAAAACAAGAGAATGCCTAGGAGTTTGCAACTTCTTTCGAATGAGATGCAACTTAATTGCCTCCACGACCCCTAAGTCGATATATATTATCTTGTCATAATAAAACCAGTACAGAATTAGTTAGGGTTATGATTGAGTGAAAACTAGTTTGACTACCAATTGGGAGAAATGAACTAGTCACATAACTAGTTAGGGACCTGGTCAAGTTAAAACTGATCTAACCACCAATGGGGAGACTTGCACCTTTGTCTTGCATAGAAGTTTGCAACTTCCTTCAAATGAAAGACAATGCCTACATGAACCATAAGCCAATGTATATCGATGTTATTAGAATCAGATTAGCCACGGAATTGGTTAGGGATCTGATCAAGTTAAAGCCAGTAAAACCGACATTCGAATTGGTTGGACTAGAGTTTTTTTTTAAAGAAATAAAAAAATGATGAGAATAATAACTGAAATATATGAAGGACATGGTTTCTATGAGACGGCCGACTCATCTATTTAAATGAGTCCTATCTCCAAAATCTATTTTTAACTTTCAAAATTTTAGGGATTCTACTATGATTTGTAGGAATCTAAAAAAATACAAATTTTAAAAAAAAAGAAAATTTTTCATATAATTTGACACCATTGATTGTAAAGTTTGTGGGATGTCCATTTTTAAACAAAGATGGATGTTTAGTGTGTCAAGGGATGCTATTATAGAAGTGCATCCCTTGATGCACGTACTACTTTTCCATATATGAAATGTATTTTTTTTAAAAAAAAAGAGTTGTTCAACCTTGTGTAGTCGGTCCAGCTGTCCAAAATGGTTGGTGTGCTAGTTAAAACTTTTCAAATATTGATTTTAAGCCGTCTTCGACCAAACGCAGTTCGACTAGACTAGTTGAGGCAACAAGTTTCTGTGATGTCCTCTTTTTCTAAAATTCATTTAAAGAAAAGCCACAAAGACAAGAGAATGGATATGATACTTGTATATTTGGCTTCCTGCAGGATCTCTGAGAGTGCTAGTTTCCACCACAATGCATCATCAAATGAGGGCTCTAAGGTAGGCTTTGCCTTACTTCTTCCGAAACAGGACGATCAAGTGTTGTCTCATTGGTTGCAACAACAAAAAAGTTGGATCGATTGGAACCTGCTTGAGAGGATCCAGATGACTGTTTGAGAATTGCAGAATTGATGACGGAGACAGCAAGTTTTGGTTCCTAGAAAAAATGTTCCCCCTATGAAGAATCTATTTTTTCCTTTTTTTTCATTTTGGCACCTTGAACGATTATTTTCAAAAAGTTAAAGTGAATTCATGCTACTGATGCATAGCCAAATAAATGAGAGAGATTCTCCTTTTTCCTTTTGGGTGTTGCATTAGCATCAGGGTCATCATAGTTAACTACCATATATAATTTTTTTTTTTCTTTTTTGGGTGAATTAAATGGACAGGTTCTGAAATTCATTATGAACCGAGCAGGGTCTACGACCTTGGACAAGTATGTGCATGTACACACAATGTCTGTGTTTACCTGACTGGTGTCTAAGTTTTTTTTTTTTTTGAATGTTTAATTACTAACTTTTCTTTGTATAAAAGGATTTAGAAAAGTAGATTAAAAAAAGAAGAAGAAGAGACCGTGTATATATAAGGCAGTGTTACTTTTGGTTTCCACTTACTACAAGTAATTTGTGTTACTATATTTTTTGTGTTGATTATTGCAACCTTATTTATGCAAGTAAGGTTGCAACCTTATATAAACTTTTTTTCTTTTCGTATTGAGATTGCGTGTAATGACAAAACCATTTGTGGTCAACAAAGTGTTTATTGATTCGGTTTTGGTCCAAACAAAGTGTAAGTGAAAACACGTGGGTGTAAATTTTTAGAAACTCATGGAATGCTAAATTATTTTGAGAATAAAAAATGTGATTATTTCAATTTATTACAAAAAGTTGATTAAAAAAGATTATAATGTGTATGTTCTTGGGTGGATTTGTATGGGAAGGAATAGTAAAAAAAAATCAACTTAGGTGTGATCCAGACCGGACCTGGACTTGAAAATATAGTAGGGGGGACCTTGACTTAGACCCAACCCAAAAATTAAAATATGTATATATATAAATATATTTTATAAATTGAAACCCAAAAATATAATATAGGACCTAGACCGGACCTGGACCCAAATAGTGCTCACATCCTGTCGGGTCTCATTTTTGGACTCATACCCACACCCAAGTCAGGTCCACCCGTCGGGTCGGGTCCTGGTCTTGGATCCAAAGCCACCCCTGAAGGAACTATAAGTGAGACAAAAAAAACATTGATCTTTAATTCATAATTTATATAATCAAATACTATACCATTATTAAGACTTATTGTCATTTTCAACCAATAAAACTCATCCTGAAAACTAAAGTCGATTATGGCTGAACTAATAGAGTAAGTATGAATTACTATAACATGGCTTTGGAAGATTAAATGTAAGAGTAAAATTAAAATGGGAAAGAGAATGAATGGGATTTCGTCCCATGACCCAAGAGAGAGATATAAGTAGCTTACCCAAACAAAGAGACCGATCCAAATAAAGAATTTTAATTTAATATGAAGTTTTTCAAAAGATTGTTATTTTTTTTTTTGGGTCTGGGGAGAGGGCCCCTACCTTTGGTAAACACCAACCAATTAAGTGTAAAGCATCCATGCAAGTAGGTGTTCCATCTAAAAACAATGGAAACTAACGGTCGAAATGTTTTCTTACTAGAATTATTTTTTCTAATTTTTACAAGTTATTTATTTTTTCATATTCATGATCTTCATGTTAGAGATTACATGTCCAAAAAAATTAAGTTTATAATCCATCTCAAAAATAGATTTATTAATAGGCCCGTATTTCTATACATGCGGGCTTGCCTGCATAGAAACTGCGTCCTTTAGATAATGATATGATACAGATCTTCAGAAAAAGTAGTCTTCTAAAAAAAAAATCTGTGTTTAAATGGAGTATGGCTAATATGATCAGGACCTGCATTTTTTTTTTTTGTTTTCTTTATTCTCAAATACCTTGTAGCTTAAGAAAGAAATAGGCTACATCCTCGGGAAATAAAAAAGAATGCATTTCTTCTTCTCATGGCTTATAAGAAAGAATATATTTGAATATGAAGTTTCTCCATTCAAAATCACCTCTGAGTTTTCAGCCACTCACAAATATCAAGAATCAAGGGGCTAAGAGAAGGTGATGTGAATGCGACAAGTAGTTTTTCCACTCAATTGCAAATTCGAGGACCAACAATATTCTTGGGATCAAGATAGAAGGGATGGATGTATTATCAATCACTTTGAAAGGAGCATTTACAGCAGTTAAAGGTGGATTTCAAGAGTGTTCCTTTTAACAAATAACCCATGGATAATGCAATGGAGATTGAAAAGCCTTTTCTTGAGCTGGTAATATACGAGGATGTGAAGAACTTTGCTCAAGGCTATTATGGTTCCCATTTTGTCTCCTTTCAACATTTTTTGGGAAATAGATAAGGAGGAGATGTGATCTTTATAGAAGAATTCTTCCATAGAGAAAAAAGTAAACAAGGCCATTAATGCTACATTTGTAGCCTTAACTCCTAACAATAGAGCCATTGAAGTATGCTTGCTAGTCTCTGTAAAGTTATAGCAAAATCTCTTACTGCTAGACTGAAAGGGATTCTAACCTTGGTTATCTCAGGGCCCCAATCGGCATTTACACAAGATAGGCAAATTACAGATATTATATTAATTGCCCAAGGATGTATGCACTCTAAAAGACATGAGAACGAAGCCATGGATCATCTGCAGATTGAAATTAAAAAAAGCCTATTATAGAGTAGGTTAGGAGGTACTGCTAAACATTATGTTTTTAATTGCTTTCAAAGTGAGATGCAGATTTTTCAATTATCGTTAATGGATGCCCAAAAGGTTCTTTCAAGCTACAAAAGGAGTGGGAGAAGGAGATCCCCTCTCCTTTTCTGTTTACATTTATGGCTAAGAAGGCGTTTAGTGTCATGATAAACTTTGTTGATGCAGTTGGTTGACTTTAGTTTTTTCAAATATCTAGGGGAAGGCCAACAGTCACACATCTTCGTATATACAGATGATATGTTAATATTTAGCGATGCTTATGCACAAAAAATCAATAATCTTAGGACATTCCTCAATTGTTCTGCATTAGTGTCAGGATTGGAAGTCAACTTGAGCGAAACTAAATTGGTAAGCGTTGGATGTAACAATGATGATGAAGTTAAAAGTTTTGGCGAAAATTATGGGGCCTTGTGTTAACAGATTTTCAGTAAAAATACTTGGGGATTCCGTTGACAGAAGGGAGAACACCACGAGCCATTTGGAACACAGTGATTCAATGGTTTCAAACGAAATTGGACCTATGGAAGGCCAAATATCTATCTCTTGAAGGTAGAATTACATTGACTAAGTCAACTATTTCGAATCAACCTATCTATGTAATATCTTATCAAATGCGAAATGATATTGTTAACATGTTAGGAGGTATGATGAGAAATTCCTTATGGGTGGGACTCGAGAAAAGAAAATACCATCCGGTTAATCGGGAGAAAGTTTGTAACCAAAAAAGGAAGTGAAGCCTAAGTCTATCTATGAATTTAGCTCTTTTAACAATACGGTGGTGATAATGTGGTCAAGATGGCTTTCAACAGTGAAAGGAACTTCCCGTTAGCAAATAATGAGTGGAAAAAAAATCCTCGTTATTAGCGGTTTGCTTTAAAGATAACGCATTTACATCGGGAAAAATGTAAAATTACGGTGCACCTCTAAAATCATCCGAAAAAGGTTGTTTTTTTATGTTAGAAAAACATCTAGTTGAGATCATCTCGAATTGAGATGGACAGATGTGAAAAAAAAAAAATTTCAAGTCTTAAAAGTAATACATCTTACAATACATTATCTGAAACTATATATTTTTAAGATTTTCATGCATTTGTAGATCTGCTTGATTTGAACCATTTTGAAATTATAAAATTTTATAATTAAATATAATAGATTGTTGTGACTCCTTCAACATCATGTCCCGGTGCTCCAATCCAGAGTCCACATCTTTGCAATGGAGGCATGTTGTGGACGAGATCTGCCACACTCTCTTGGAGGTGTTTCTCTTTGCTTCGTATCTTTCGAGAAAAGAACAGTGAAACAGGCGAACTGGCTAGGGCTGCTCCTCTCTTCTCTTCGTTTCTCAATTTTGTGGGAGGTGTAAAAAGAGATAAATAGTATCCAAGTTCCAAACATGAACATTACGAGATTGTAAGCACTTGTGAGAAAGCCCTTGGCTCTTTTTCTTTGGCTAGGCTCGAGTATCATTCTTCACACTTGCTTTGCTCTTTGGTTCGCTCAGTGTTTACGCACTTCGTTTCACTCATTGGTTTGCTTAGTGTTTATGCACTTTGCTTCGCTCTTTGGTTTGCTCAGTGTTTACGCACTTTGCTTCACTTTGAAAGAGTACATGTAGACGAATAGAAATATGAAATTGAAGATTAAAGAGAAGATGTATCTCAAACTAATCTTTTATATAAGCTCAAGGTGTGAGTACGTTAAAATTGGAACGTGGAAGCCTCTACCCATAGGAATTCTAAAGTTAAATTTCGACGCCAATTCTTTCAATAATTGGGGGAAGAGGGAAGCTTCTACCAGTAGGAATTCTAAATTTCGATGGCAGTTCTTTCGATAATTGGGGGCAAGAGGATAGTAATGGTCCAGGATAGAAATCACCATGGGGTAATTTGTGCTCAAATATTAGGCGTAACTACTATTTTTTTATTTATTTTTGGGTAATTTAGTGGGGAAAGCAAACCCCTACCTATTTTTTCAAATACTTTAGAAGTCAGTTTTTAAGTTTAAAGGTGTTAGTAGGGTAGTGTTATTGAGAATGAAAACAATAATACGGTGACTTGAGCACCACGAACCCAGCCACTTTCCCAATTAGAGATGTAACTACTAATAAGGCAAAGGTTAAAGTTGTAGAGTTTGAAATAAATAGATAGTGTGAAGGCTATCGTAAAGGATAGTATTGTTGAGGGCATTTAACAGACCACAGCGTGTAAAGGGTGGGCTCACTGGACACTGCTTCCATGCAAATAGTACAAAGAATACAACCAAGAGGCACAGATGCTAGCTCGAGGTGGTCCAACTCTCAATTGATTATTATATATTACTATTGGTGCAATTTATATAAGCTACAAACCTTAAAAAAAATCCAAGTAAGGTGCATATCCAAACCCTACTACAAAATACAGTGCAGAACGGGCAACTCTTTCTATGACCCAAAAATTCGTTTGTACCTCGAGGTTTCAAATTTTAATTTCAAAAACGGGTGTGGTACTGGAAAATTTAATGATGACCTGAAAATCTACTTCATATCTAATTATAAAATTTAAAATGAATATCTTGAGAACGGATGTTCTAAAATAATTTATTACAAAGTGTACCATTTTTTGAACTTTAAATTATTATTATATTTGAAAAAATCCGTACATCTCAATGTCAAAGATGATCAATTAGAAGATTTTTATGCATTAAAACAACTTTTCTCAATATAATTTTGAGGTGTACCCTTTTTCTACAGTGAGGTTGCAGCCTTACAAAAAAAAAATTCCTTCGGTCCAAACCAAGTGAAATCTATGCACTCATATATCATTGCAGGATGGTTATTTGAAAGGTTTTCCAACGCAAAACATTTTTTCAATAAGTTTGAGGTAAACCTCATTTTTTATTCTTTGCACTGTTCTTTTATTGAAAGCAGTTCTAGTAAAGTAGAGAAGATAATAAGGGAAGGGAAGGGAAGGGAAGGGAAGGGAAGGGAGGTTTTTGTTTGGTGGGGGAAATGTTTTTCCACCAGTCCCAAAACCCATTCGGTGCAATTTGGAGGAATCTAGTTTAAGGACCTACTTGTCAATAAAGAAACAACGCCCAAAGGCATTGGCGAAAGAGAATTGTGGTCCTCTGGGACCATAGATGATGGAATCTTTTGGCTTTTCACTTCTCCCCACTTCTTACCTAGTCATATATACATTATATATATATATATACACACCAATATATAAACAAGGTATAGTATAGAACATCTACCCAAACCCAAAATACTACACCACTTCTATCCCAGGGAGAGTTATAAAACACTTCTTTTATTTCCAGGGCAGGGCAGGGCAGGGCAGGGCGCCAAAGCATACCACCTCTCTCTCCACAAACCAACCTTGAACCACTCTGTTTGGAAAACATCACCTCTCACTTACAGATCTCCAACCTGCCCACGCATTTTATCTGAAAGCTACTGTACGCTAAAGCTCTCAGGAGTGATGGTGGTGGGCCATCGTGGAGAGAAGGGTCCTACCTGCCTGCAACACGCACAGTGCACCGATGTAAGGCTGAGGCAGCCACTGATGATAAGGGAGTGTCGTCCGGGGCACGTATGTAGGCCGGGGAAGGAGTCGCACACGGCTTGCACGGCAGGCGGTGTGAGTGCCGTGCATTGGCTTATGTTGAGGTTCCTCAAACCTTCATTCTTCCCCTTTCCATATTTACTTCCATTGCCATTTCCATTGAACACGGACGCGAATAATAGGTCCTGTCTTGCTTGTTGCTCACGTCGACCACTGCTTGCCAACGAGTACATGGCCCTGTCAGTAATGTTCTGGCAATAGTAGAGACCCAGAGACCTCAGGCCATGGCACCTATCCGCAAGTGCAATCACACTCTTATCTGCACCAATTCAAGCACACAAATGTTAGATACACTGTGTTCCTAAACTCTTTGTGGCTAGTTTTTTCATGGAAGTACCAAATGACTATGGACAATCATGGTTCATGGATCAAAATCAATTGAATGGAATAAAGTAGCTTGATAAGAACCCGTATATGGAGTTACCAGTAGACGTCAATTGATATGTTTATAAGTGATGAAAGACAACGGAAAGGGCGTGGCACTCACCATTGGGGTCATTTTCTATTATGGTGTGCCCACTCCCTCTCCATCAATGACCGACACTACCGTGGATGGTGATGACTGTCAATTGGGTTATAGTACCATTATAGTACTCTTTCTTGTATTAGTAGATGAACTCTAAGTTCTGTTGAAAAGAATAACATTGTCTTCTTCTGCCAATCTCTTTCCCATGTATAATTGAGTATTATGAAATCTCTGAGGATACCTCTTTCAATAACTTTATATTTGCAATGGGGTTATCTAAACAACAGGAGATCATAGATTTTGAAATGGTTCATTTGCAGTATATTTTTATTAAGAAAATAAAAAATCAATTGTCTGCTTGGCAATAAAACTGACAATCCATTTGTCAATCTCAAACTCTGAAGGTGTTTCCCTTATCGCATAGAGGGTAAACATTGCAAGGAAATACCCTATGGGAAACAAAAATTTCTTTCAAATTGTGAAGCAGATAAATAATGAATGGCAATCTCCTATGAGAAATGTGAAGGAAATAGGGATCTAAGCAATGACAGTTACGACTAGCTTCAACACAATACCTGTTATAAGGATGCAGCCACACAAGTCTAAAGCCCTAAGATCTGGGCATCCATAGGCCAGGCTCATCACTCCAACGTCACTGACTTTCTCACACCACCCCAAATTCAGATACTGCAACTGGTTGCAGTTGCGACCAACAGCCTACATCACAAAAATTAAAACAACATGAAAGCAATATAAGCAATTATATACTTCTCCACAAACAAAACATACACCCATATCTACAGACTCGTGTGTGCACGTGCATACACTGAGGCCCGTTTGAGCAGAATAAGTTTTCGGGACAGGGCCTTCTTTTACTCCACGAATTTAGGTGTTAAGAAACAACCCATATTGGTCTTCTCCACTAAAAAAGGGCAACAGACTTTTGTAACCTCCATCATCAGTGAAATGCAGCCAAAACGTTACTTGACACTGAAAAAAGAGAAGTCTGCTTTCGCCCCACTTACAAATAACACCCTTGTTTAATTAGAATCATTCAGCTGTCCAAATGATGACTAAAGTATGAGAAGCAAAGAGAGTAATTAAACTATGTTCCATATTTTCTTTCTAAATAACCTGCAATGCTTTATCAGTTGCCGCTCTCACACAACCGCAGAGGTTTAGACTTTTCAAGTCCCTACACGTGCTGGTAAGGTAAGCGAGGGCATTGTCACTGAAATCCGAGCAACCACTTATGTTGAGCTTGGTAAGATGGTTGCAGCCATGAGCCAAGGCATACAAGGAGCGGTCAGTTAGCTTAAAGCTTTTGCTGAGATCCAAGTCTCGCAAGTCATGGCAATGCTTGGCTATTGCCTCAACCGCTTCATCTTCAAGTTGCGGTTTATTTTGGCGCAAGAAAAGAGTCTGCAGCTTTGTGAACTTTGGGGCAATGGATAGAACGAGGTTATTCATGTTCTCCTTGCACCTGCACCATTAACAGGACATCATTTATTTACTTCCCATATTTAAAGACATCGGCTAAACACTTTACTAAACAGTTTCAGGCGAGAAGCATATGATGAATAGAAAATGTGTGGATGAATTCATTTTGGGAATTCTTCTTTTATCAATAACCCCAGGTGTTCAATGGACCCTCGTCCATCTACCATGATCAATACGACTAAAAAAATGCACGAGTAAAAGGAGGAATATTATAGTACAAAACTAACATTGGGAAAGAAAACAAAGCCAGACAACCCATGATGCACAGCTTCTTGTATATGCTTAACATGATAGGCTCTAACCCAGTCAACACCAACATTACTAGGACACTCAATTATAAAAAATTATAATATCGATAATTATATGTGTGTATCTGTGAGTGCTGGATGCATAGAATTCTATATCACAAGCTATACAATATATATTTACAGCTGCATTCGATAGGATACTTGTAACCGTAAATGTATCCTGCATTTCAAGAAAAGGTAAGTCATATCCCAGTTGTCGGTGTCTATTTCTGTACCTGTGTCTGGGTATCAACTATCTAGTGGTATATATGAGTGCATGGGATTGCGTGTTCGTGCATTGTATTCTCATGATCAGATGGCTGATAAAGGAGCACAGTTAAAGCACATGAAAATGAATGCAGTTGGACCTCAAACTGAGCTTAAATCTAATCCAATATACCTCCAAGGGATCTCCCAAAAATCAGGTCATAAAGATGCTGGATGGTTGAGATATAGCATACACAATTTCAGGAGTACCATCCATAGCCTGTGGATCACAAAAAAGAGGTGAAATTACAAAAATTCCCCTTAGAATTGAAATCCGGTCGGGTCCAAAACTCCTGAGAATAACAGTGAGTTGCTCAAAACCCTGAACTTTAAAATTTCGTTAATGCGACATCCTTTGATGACATGTACTAAAATTTTGAGGGTTTCACATACTATTCAAAAGTTAGCTAGTGCTATTATTCATTTGTGGGTAAAATCTGCTAAACCAGCAAGTAGTCTTGATTTTCCAGCACCTGTAACTCCCAAACCACATGGAAATCGGGTCCGGGCATGGTATATGTTGTTCCTTGATGCGAGATATTTCTGGCAAGGTATACATTGCGAGATTTCTTCATCCTATCATGGTCTATTTCTAGAAAGAAGTTGAAATTGGCAACTTTCATGACCTCCGATCCGTTTTACAGCGATTTCTCCCGAGTTTCACGATGGAACTTGATTTTATGGGATTCTTGACTCGATGCTCATTCTATACATATATAAAAAGCCACAATCAACTCAAAGATGGGGAGTGAGTTTGAAGCCGATTTTTGACTAATTTGTTGGATGTTGCTAAAAATCATATTTTAGATATAATAAAAGACCCATAACTTATCTAATATGTGAAGTTCTTGGGTGATATTTGAGGCAAAACATTCTTGGGGTCATTCTTTACAATTCTAGGGAACCGGGATGAGAAGAATCCAGTGGAAAAAAGACAAAATGACTGGAAAATGTGTGTGAAAATCGGGTATGTTGGTTTTTTGACACCTTTAAGGAGGAAAAAAATAGCTTCCTGAAATCTTAAAGAGTTTTTTGGTAAAATTCATTGCAAACGATCGTGAGGCAATTCTCTACAATTTTGTTGCACCGGACTGTACGTATCCCAATGAAAATGAAGGAATAAAGGCCTGTGTTGATGGGTACGGGTAAAAACAAGCTTTTCAATGGCATATCTTGATACTTTTATTATTTTGACCTCAATAAAATTGCCCTTTCTCAATACACCTAAGAGTTGATTTTTGCCCTGTTTCAAACCTCATCTATAACTAAACCAACCCTAGTTCACTTTCAAAGGTTCGAGAATCATTTGCTTGGCAGGCGTGTAGAGAACTGTAGTGAGAGAAACTCCCTAGAGAGAGAACCCTAACCTAAGCGACTTAACCTTAGTCAAATTCCCACGAAACTTAACCCTAGTTAAACCAAATAACAACATTACCCCAAGGCAATCATAGCAAAGGAAATCAATCCACTTTCGAAAACCCCTTTGAAAAGAGAGAGGTTAAGGAACACTCCTTCCAAGAACATGGCGGCTAATAAAGGTTTGGCCATTTGTCCCCCTTTTTTGAATTACCCTCTGCCTTTTCAAACTGCCACTGGATCATGTAGGGATCTCCCCCAACAACATATAAGCCAAGAGGTCTAATAGGGTCACATAACTGGCTTGGGAGGATCCAAACCTTCATATATTATGTGTCCCTATCTCACACTTACTAGAAATGAAAGATTCGCTAGTTCCTTTTTCTTTAAGTGCATTTTAATTTCTATTCCTATCCATATATTCTTCAACTTTGGAGTCATTTGAATTTAATTTTCCTTTAAACTTCACTTAATCCGCATACACGAAAAAGGGGTGACACTGATCTATATGATTACTATGAAAACCTTAAACATCAGCTCAAGTCTCTCTTATTGTCCGCCCTTCAGTACCTTACAATATAGGCATAATCCATGTTGTGGAAGTATGCATCTGTAGCACTCAAAGCCAAGAAACATAGTTTAGTTTCAACTTCTCGAGCACAAAAGACAGCCAGGAAATTTAGAAGGGGAAAGAAAGTAATGTGGGAAAACAAAAGTTTCAGATATCCAGGTACGAAATTTTTAAAAATATAAACAAAAAGCAGACAAAAAGAATCATAACTAAGTGGAACGAAATATGTATCTCATCCCACGGTTGCAACTTTAAAGTCCATAGTTACCATAAAAGAATACAAGGGTACGTACACAAATCAATGGGCATGTAAACATGTCAACGTTTGCCATTCTTAACATTTCCAAAATCGTAGGAGCTTCAGTGAGTCGACTGGTAGTTCAGTTCAGGCAATCGTTTGGTAGCTAGTTAATCCACCGGTAGCTTTAGTTCATGTGATTCTGTGACGACTATGGTTAAGGGAGCGGAGGTTTGCAGGTATCAGAGAGTTTAAAATCTCAATAATATTCTTCTAAGAGGTGCTTTGTGAAATTAATGGAGGTTCATTCATAATTGTTTCAAGGTCGCGTGATTTAGTCAATCCTAAAGTGACCTACTTTACAAGTAAGTTGTCATGGACAAGATTCTCTCAAGCAACCATTGCATGGGGGCATCATTCTTACAATTTCTTAGTAGGTTCAAGGAGAAACAAATGCGTATTAGTCACTTCTTTCTGATTTTGTGGGATGGGTATGAATAAATTTCGAGAAATCTTTTGAATCACGTAGAGAATCTAAAGACAACTAAAGAACCTTTTGATAGGGCGGAGGTAGTTGTGGGCAGGATAATGTGTGCCATGATATCTAGGCAACCGCCAAACAGGAATTTAACATGTTAGAGTTGCTCTCCAAAAATCAAGTCGAAGGAAGTTATAACAATTAAGGGAATTCAAATATAATAGCTTCCAGTCTTCTGGGATACGAAAGTTGAATTTTGGTAGTAGGCTAGTAGCTCAAATGGGCAGCTTGGCTAAAACTGGGTATAGGGTGCAAAGACAATACAAGGACGGTCTGAAACGTGCACTATTGATCATGAAGGAGATTAAGGATAGTTTAATTCCATACATGCGACCTTAAATCATGTGCATGGAACTATATATGAGGATCCTTGAGTTCCAACCCAATTTGTTGGGAATCATACCCAACTTTGTAACATTAAGCCTCAAGCTAGCAACGAGCCAAGCAAGCCCCTGCCTAGCCCTAACCCGTCCTTGTTCCCCTGAGGGCCAGCCCAGGCCCGGTGCAAACCAGGCCAAAGAGGCCTTGGCCCAGGCACGACTGTAGCCCTGTCAATGCTGGGCTAGGCCACACTAAAAAAAATTTAGAAAAAAAGAATACATTAATAAGGGCCAGGCGGGGCTGAACAGGGCCAACGCTATCTTGGTCTTGATTCGTGCTCGGCCCAAGCCCTGGTTTCTTGGGGCCAGGCCACTTAGCCCATTGCCACCCCTAAGCCTAGAGTTCATATAACTATACATCTCTAGGGTTTTGATGAAATTAACTTAACTAAAACGAAAAAAAAATAGAGAATAAGAAGCTCTTAAGGCGACTCAAAACAGTCAAAGTTTCTACAATTCATCTAAGTTGAAACATCATCATCAGAGCCTTATCCCAACTATTTGGGGTCAACTACACGAATCTTATTCCACCATTCTGCTCTATCAAGGGCCATACCCTCAATTAGACTATAAGTCCCCATAAGTTTTCTTGCTACTTCCATCCATGTCCTTTTGGAACTTCCCCTTGCCCTTTTAGAGTCTTCCACTTGAACCAAATTGGACCTCCTAATTGGTGTATTATTGGGTCTGCGTTGCACATGGCCAGCCCACCTAATTCTTCTTTGCTCATCTTGTAGCCTATTGGAGCCACCCCTAACTACTTCCCTCAAATATATTCATTTTGAATTCTACCCTTTCTTATCTTACCACTCATCCATCTCAATATTCTCATCTCTACTACACTCATCCTATGGATATGTTGTTTCTAGACCACCCAACATTATGTCCCATAAAGCAAAGCTGGTCTCACAGCTATCCTATAAAACTTCCCCTTCAGCTTCATTGGCATGCAGCAATCAAATAAAACTCTGGTTACACATCTCCACTTCGCCTACCCAACTCTCATTCTATGCGTAACATCTTCCTCAATCTCTAGCATCCAAAATTAAGTATAATATATTGTATACACACATGGGGACATCATGAGCCAGCAAATATGACAACCATTCTTAAGGTTCGTCCACATCAATCATGGTAATGAGCCTGCATTCAAGTTGTGATTGGGGACCTCACTGTTCAACCTGGAACATAGGATTGGACAGTCCATAACTCCATATGCAACGAGAACATGCATACCCCAAACACCAAGTGCATGGTAATAAAGCCTTGGCAAAATTGCATAAAAACTAACTAGTAAGATATGGTCAAAGAATTTGCATTAGCATCATGTTTTTATTGGATTCTTGGATGGAATTCTGGGTCTACCAACTCTACTAGCACATGTTAACGGCTTCAAAGCAATTCATACCACCAAAGAGTATCAGAAAAATCTAGCACTTAAAGGGTAAGGAAGAGTAGTAGCAATCAATTGACAAATTGCAGATGCATATCCCACATACAAAAGTGCAGTTAATCGAAACCACCTATCTGAACTCTAAGAGCAACTTCATGAATGTGAACTACCTAAACATGACCTGATGTGATGAAAAACATATCATTATGTACAAATCAGCCATCAGGATCCACACAGTTAGCTTCTTGAGCAATGAAGACACGAGATCACTCACTCAAATGTTTGAATGCTTGAAAAATGGTCCAAAACCTCGAGGGAAATATTTTGTTGCTATCTTAGAAAGGAAGAAAATGCGGGAATGGGCTTCGATGGATCTTGCTTAACAACTAAAGTAACATCATAAAATCTGAGGATATTGATAATAAGGAGACACCACCATCAATTGAGAAAAGTCCTTGTGCTCTTTGGTTATGGCCATCAATAAACATGCCAACAAGAAAATTTTCAGGTGCACACAAAACTCAATTCCCTTCTTTTATCATTGAAATACACAGTTCCCCTGGTTTCTCCCTGACAACTTATAATACTTAAGTGGAGATTTCTATCATTTAATAACAAAGATCTGCATCTTCCAAAATTGACTGAATCTTGTTTAGAGCCAAGAGAGTATGATAAGAAATGATCTTCCAAAGATAAAATTTAGTTATTGTTCTTCATGCTTTTGCAATAGGCACAACTCACCTATCCATACTACATAATTACCATTAAGATTTGAGCAATTAGATCAATGGGCAAGACACCACAATGAAATGATGACAACCTGTTCTTCAAGTGAAAATGAGAAAGATCACAAATTCTGCTTATATACACTATGAGAAACACTTTATGATCTTTAGGTTGTTGGAAGGGCAGGGTAGTCAATGATTTCAGGCAATAATCGATATCATATTGAGTAGAATCAACACCTATATGTTCTCTACAATCCAAAAATTTCAGACCAAGATCAAACTGAATAGCATAAGCAAACATACCGAATGCTCAGTGAACATTGCAAAATTATCACAATACATGTCTTCAAAAGCGCAATTTGAAGATGTTGACTTTGTCTTGGCACTTTATTTCAACATTTTACCCCAAATAAATAAGCTAGTAAATAAAAGGTCAATAAACAGCACAACCTCCTTAACACCTTAGAGAAAAGAGTTACGCATACTGCCAGTTAGGCATAAAATTAGTCACTGATAGTTCACCTAATGCCGTACTCGATCCTACAGTCTTTTAAGTCCCTTATAAACATGCATCCTATACAATCTCATGAAATGGAAATCAAGTATGCCAACAAGGGAGATAGAAACCATGCATTTCCACAGGGGAGAGAGGAGAAGAGAGGAGGCTCACATATGGTGTACTCCTCTTTCTACATGACCCAGGCAATTGGCAGAGACACCCACACAGTGCATCCCATTCTTAATCCCACATGGTACAACTACAAACATTCCCCCCTGCCTTTTCTTCCCAAACTAGTCCAACTACATTCATGAAGAGGAAAGCAAACAAGCAGTTATTTGTGAAAAATGGTTTGATAGGGCTGCAGCCCTATGACCTATCAAAATAAGTAAAGCCTCACCTCATAACACATCGACAATTACAATTCAAGCATTGGAAAACCTTTACATCGATCATCTCAGCTTGAACATTCTGATTGTGGAAAAAAATACGGATTTTAAGCTCAAAACATAGTGATATTGTAACAAATTATCTAGACTGTCCATTCCACCCGAAAAGTAAGTGTCATAGATCCACAAGATCTGTACCATTTTTTTAGTTTCAAATTTTATTGTTGGTGTTGGAAATTGATTTTAAAGCAATCATGGAGATTTCCTTTGCCAAAAGAACTTTCCAAATGAGGATTTGAGGTGAGGCTATATTTTGTTTTAATAAAGCTTAGGTGATGCAAGGAGAAAATAAAACTAGAATAATAAAAAATAAAAATACAAAACGGCTTAGAGTCTATATCCTCTCTCAAGATCTGCAAGCAAGTCCACCCCCAAAAAAATATCTATTCACAAGATCAACTTTATTCAATTTAGATTTTTTCATAAGATCAACTTTTCTCAATTCAGATATTTCACAAGATCAACTTTTCTCAGTTCTTATTCTTTGATCATTCTCTGATCCTTTACAATGAAAGGACATCTACCTTTAAATAGACTTCGAAGAAAACAAATAAATAAATAAATAAATAAACCACAAAAACTAACTCTCTCTCTTCCATGTTTTTATTTTTTTTAATTATTTAATTATTTGTTTTTTTTCAAAGTCTATTTAAAGGGAGATGTCCCTTAATTGTAAAGGATCAGAGAATGATCAAAGAATAAGAATTGAAAAAAGTTGATCTTGTGAAAACATCTGAATTGAAAAAAGTTGATCTTGTGAAAAGATCCAAATTGAATAAAGTTGATCTTGTAAAATACCGTTTTTGGGATGGACTCCCTTGAAGACCTTGAGAGAGGATATATTCTCTCAGACCTTTTCTTTTTTTATTTTTATTATTCATGTTACTATTTCTCCCTGCATCAATTGGTATCAGAGCCCTAAGATCCATGCTAATATGGAGAGCCTTGAGATCTTAGAAGATGTTTGAAGCGAAGTTCGTGACATGAATCAACAATTGCAGCGATTAGATCAAAGATTTGACAGACTCAAAGAAGACCTAGTACAGCGTAATAGCAGAGTAATAGAACAAGGTCTACGAGATTTATTTCATAGATTGCAATTGGAACAAGAGAAGGAAGAATATGAAGAGATAGATCTCGATATAAAAGATGACATTGATAACCCGAATGTGCAAAAAATTTTGAATACCAATTGTGAAGAAAAAGAAGAATTTTGAAAATCAATTATGAAGAAGATATGTGCGATGCAATGTTTGAAATCCAACCAAGTGAATCTAAAAGAGAAATCAAGATTGAGCTCGAGATCACTGTGTTCTACTTCAAGATAAGCACAAAGCATTCAATGAATTGGCTTAATGAAGAAATTAAAGAAAAAATACCACGGAGAATGGTGGGACTTCATCACCAATTAGTAGAGGGTGATTGGCTTCAAGCTGAAGATCGAGCTTCTCCCAACCCAGGGAGAATGATGCAGATAAAAATTAAGAAAAAATCATAATTGCAATTTTATGAGTTTTTAGGAAAGGTAAATCTTGGTGTGAGTTTTAAGCTTATCTTTTCTAGTGAGATTTTTCTAGTGAGAGATTTAAGGGGGATTTAAATATGAGTAAGATATGGGATTTAAATATGGGGAGGATATGGCGAGTACGTGAAGATGGGGGAGTTTTCTTAATTCAAGGAACTCCACTTGATGGGTAGAGAGACACGTGAGGAAAGAGAGAAATAGGGAGATGAAGAGAAAGAAAATAGGAAGGGAGAGGAAAACGTGGAAGAGAGAGAGAGTTTTTGTAGTTTATTTATTTATTTAATTATTTGTTTTCTTCAAAATCTATTTAAATGGAAATGTCCCTTCATTGTAAAGAATCAAAGAATGATGAAAGAATATGAACTGAGAAAAGTTGATCTTGTGAAGATATCTGAATTGAGTAAAGTTGATCTTGGGAAAAGATCTTTTTTGGGGTGGACACCCTTTCAGACCTTGAGAAAGGGTATATTCTCTCAGCCATTTTCTTCTTTTTTTATTATTCATGTTACTATTTCTCCTTGCATCACTAGGTCTTATAGAAACTTCATCCATTATTTTTTCTCATGTTTTAGAAAGCAAAGCCCCGATGAGATCCATCTCACCCCAACACACACACATAGAGAGGAGAGAGAGAGAGAGGCAATAGATCATTGTACATTCATATTTGCTGGAAGTAAGCAATAGACACTCGTTCATAAGCCAACCACCTTACCTTCTAATCATCTTTTTGTAAGCTGAGCTTTTCACAACTCAGCCAGGCCTCAAAATATGGTGGCACACATTTCTTTTTTAAGGTATGATTGCCTAGAATGGCTTCCTTGGCAATTAAAAGCCCTTGAATAACTAGTCGAAACTTGAGGTTCAATGGAAACCTCATATTGGATGAGCAGCCCAAAAGTTCCTTACAGGAAACATAAGTGAGGAGAACCCATGTTTCAATATCAAAATCCAAAGATAAAGAGCTCACTGAGAACCACCCAAAAAGTACTAAAAAAGTTATATAGCTCATGAGAAATGGCAATCTATATATGCACAGAACAGGATTAAACGGAAAAAGACCAAAAGATACTGAAACAGAATACAAGAAGAAAGCAGGGTGCACCAAACCAATGATGCAACATAACTTAGGAGAACAGAAAGACTTAACCATGAATCAAACATTTTCAAGAGGATTAAAGCAATAATAATGAAATAGAGCAATATACAAAAGCCACATGATAGAAATAATATGTCTCCATATTATTTCGAGCTTCTGCGCAAAAGGTTGAAACTGAACAGAAACATCGTACACATATATTATTTCCATTTTCTATAAGAACCAGAACCAAAGCACACTAGTACAAGAATAAACAAATAAATAAAAGAACTTCATCTCACCATGATAAACAGAGTTGGGTGAGGCCTAAGGAAACTGCCTCTCTCCAACCTGTGCACACCCCAGATGCTACAATTACAGTCTGATCATCAACGAGGGTAAGGATTCGAAGGAGGAGCTCCATAGGAAGGTCCTTCCAATCCTTTAAGATGCCCCCACCATTCATATCTCCAGCAACCATCAGTTTCTGCAAGCATAAATTCAAATCCCTGGTTGCAAAGCCCTGAACCATCTCCACTAACACAGTAACAGTTTCTCCCCACCTCTTTAATCTCTCATCCAAAATGGGGAAATTGTTTAGACCAACTGCCAAATACAAGGAAAAAAACAAGAGTTGATAACTAAGCAACTTAGAGCCAAAAAGTAATGAAGTGAATGAAAGGGTAAGAAGAAACCAGCCATATGATTAAGTTTAGATCAAATTTACCATCACTGTTTCTGATAAAGTATTTAAACATTAGAAGTAAAATGAATGTCAAGAAGAAGATAATAAGGTACTTATATGGTTTATCATACAGAGACATAATCCATCTATTCAAAAGTTTGAAATGAAACCAAATAATGCTCAAAACACTAAAATTAGGAATATTAGGCAACTCGATATAGAATTTAGGATAATAAATATTGCTCACAATCGAGAAAAAAAATGTTAAAAAATAAAATAAAAAAAATTCTCAAAATTGGATATTATGAATAAACCAGAACATTTCCAGTGTTGAGGAACATGAAACTAAGGGGACTCAAAAATCCCAGCTTGCTCTTAGCTACAATGAATAGAGAAATGACAAGAAGTTCAAACCTTTTCCAGGAGAACTCAACACAAACACAGATGATTAAACAAACCCAAAGAACTTTCAAATATGAGTATAAATTGACAACCCAAGTGCTCAATTGCAAAAGTAAAGAACATAAATTAGAACCTTATATCAGCATAAATGGTTTAGCTTAATCATTTAAAATAATCTATAGAAGAGTAACAGATCAAATGCTCAAGGCACAATAAATGAATAAAGAATCACATAAACACCTTGAAGAAATAGAAGAAAAAAACAATTACTCTAAGAAACAGCAGGCTTCCAAAACCAGCACAGGTGGCAGAGAAACCAAGCATTCACAGAGCCTCAGAGCGATCAAAACCCTAGATTTTCGTTAAAAACTACGTGGCAGGACCTGGTTTGGACTTTTGGACTTATCGAAATAGCAAAAGCAGGAGAACAGAAATGACAAAGAACCCATAAATAAAATCTCCGTTAATGGTAAAATTTACCATCCATTGCTAGTTTCTATGAAACCCAAGTTCATAAAATCTGAAATAATCTTCCAAAAAACAGAACCAAAAATGACAAAAACTTTGCAGAGGCACATTAAAATGAACCCAAAAGAAACAGAGAACAGAAAAAACACACAAAAGTCACATAATTCTTCATTTTCAGCTAAATTTTCAAAGAATATAATGGTGTAATGAAATTCAAAGTTACCTGTATCAATAAAAGAAAAAACAGAGAAATAAAAGGAGAAGAAGAAGAAGCTTAGAAGTAGACGGAAGAAGAAGTCTAAAGCGGCAAGAAATCCTTAGACTGAGAGCGTTAAATCGTGTGACGATTGAAAATGTACATACCAAAACTACCCCTTATCTGTATGGCATATGTCGAGAATGCCCAATCCTTTATCTCTTTCTTTCTAGAACCTCCCGCGCCACTCTGTTAGGTCTCCTCGCTTTGAAATTAAAGTACTAGATTTCCGGAAAGCGTGAGCCAATCCCGTGAGGGAGAATCCTGGCCGTTCATTTGGAGTACCTTGCTTCGAAATCTGTGTAGGTGGGACCCATGTGGGGTCAGAGGTTCCTGAGCCATTCATTTTAAAGGACGGGATGACACGTCATAAGGACTCCAATTCCTCCTTTTTTATACTCACTCCGTTTTTCTCTCCACTCCGTTTTTCTCTCCAATAAAACAATGGTTTGGGCTATTTATTTATCGATCTGGACCGATTTTTGGGATATCGATCCAAGTCATCGACCTATTTTTTAAGTTATTGGTCTTTAGCTGTTAAAAAGGAAAAATTATACTTGATTGACACTTTAAAATGTATAACTAAAGTGTACCTCAAAAATCTTTAGCGGACGGTTATTTTGATATTAGAAAATCATTAAATTGATCATCTTAAAATCGAGATATATAAATATTGAAAAAAAATATTTGAAGTCTTAAAAATGGTGCACCTTGTAATATATTATCTGGATCGTCTATTTTCAAAATTTTAATGTATTTATAAATTTGTTTCATTTATACTATTTTTAGAGTTTTATAATTTTATGGTTAGCGATAAAAATAGATTCTCATGCCACCTTAAGGATTTTTTATGTCAAAATTACATCTTATGACAAAATTTGAAGGTGCGCCTTACTTTGATCATTCAAAGTTGCAATTTTAAACCACACCTACCATCAAAACTCCATAGATTTCCTGTAATATGTTGATATTTGGAAGTTATTGAACATTTACTTGGTAGTTTGATGGAAGTTCTTAAAGATCGAGAATAAGTTCCGGAGTGATATAACAAAGATCCATAGATATAAGTCCATAGGGTGAGGAAAAGCACATTATTAGAGAGAGGACTTAGAGAAAATGATATGTTGGACAAATGGAGCTAGAGTGATAAATAACAATGAGTGAGAGGACTTGGAGAGGAGAAAACAAACATAATTATATAAAGTATGTAAATGTGTGAAATGGCACATTCAAAAAGAGAATAAAGTTAAAGAGAGAATAGGTATAATTTGAGAAATGGTATCGGAGCAGAGCTCTAATATGATCTCTCAGTCATATTATATTGTGTCTAATGTAATTTTCAAATTGCATAAATATTTGATAATGATTGTCATGATGTACTGTTTTGATTTTGAGACTTTGGAAAAAAAAAAAAATTAGAAGGAGCTAGAAATAAAGAAAGCATAATTTTAGATAGAGGATTTAGAACGAGCAAAAGGGTAACTATTAGATAGAGCTACAAATAAAATGGCATCGTAAGAGAGATACTGTATAAGTGAAATAATATATTTAGAGAGATTGAGGAGTAAAAGAGAGAAAATATATAATTAGAGAACAGGGAGAGAAATAAAATAATTAGAGAGAGCACATTTAAAATGTGTGAGAGAGAGAGGACATGGTTAGAGAGAAAGGGATTGAAGATAGCTAGAAAAAGTGTACACTAAAGTTAAAAAAAAAAGGTCGGCGGTGAACTTCCTAAAAAACATGATATATGAACTTCCTAACTTCCATGGGTGGAAAAAACGTGTAAGTTCTTACTTTTTTAAGAACCCAGAAATTCCTCAAGTCAGTTTCCTATAATCTTATTTTAACAAAACAAGGAAACTCCAATTAAAAGTTGAATGAGGGAAAGCTTTCTTGTAACCTTCAACAATCTAATTAAGGCGCACTTTCAAATTTGATCATAATATGTAATTTTTGGTATAAATTTTTTTTAGGATTATATAAAAGTCTATTTTCACATTTAATTATAAAATTTTAAACTTTAAAAATAGTTAAAATCAAGTAAATCTATAAACATATGAAAATACTGAAAATGGACGGTCTAGATAATGTGTTGCAAGATGTACCATATATCTCGATGTCGAGATGATCAATTGGAAGGTTTTTCAACATTAAAACAACATTTTCTAATAGATTTTTGTGGTGCATATTTAATTATACATTTTAAAATTGCAACTTTATATAAACTTTTTCCTGGTGTGGTTTCTATAAGGTTGCAAGTTTGACATTTAAGATACCTTCAAGCATAACGTTATTACTTAGCCTCTAATTATCTATTCAAGATCGGCCAACTCAAAAGCATTCTATTTGTTGTTGTTTTATAGATCATTATGATATGAAATTTATAGTATACTTAAGGGTCCCTATAAAAATTAAATAAATTATCCAAATCAATGAATTTTTAAAAGTATTCAAGTCAATGTTCTTTTTTGTTTGGAAAAAGTTTATAAGCGGGCTTGCCCACACGCTAACTTTCAATCACGACCATCCAATAAATGGCAATTGAAAAATAGTCTTTCAATCACCACCGTCCAACAAGTGTGATTGAAAGGTAGCGTGCGGTCTTGCGTCCTTTTTATGGACCCAGTTTCTATGCGGGCAGGCCACATATTGTAGAAATACGATCTTGATAATAAATATATTTTTTAAATATAATTTTATCCTATTTTTTAGAGAATATATAATCTTTAATATGGAGATCATGAATATAAAATAATAATAATAATAAATTACAAATAATAATTATATTAAGAAAACATTTGGACAACTTATTTTTAGATAAACCGCCTATTTGCATCCATCTTTAAGATGGATGCTTTGTACATCTTGATCGCATATTGTAGAAATGCCGTACAACCCGTATGAAACAATTTTCCCCTTTTTATTTCCGTCAAATTATTTTTTTCTCCTTGTGATAATTTATCTTGTGGGGAAATTTATTTAGTAGCATATTTGGGCTTCCAAAAATTTGGAGATGTAATCTACTTAACCTATTATCCAACCTTATCAAGGGAAAAAATATATATACACACTTCACATGTACTAGAAAAAAATATATCATTTTCAATATTGAACAGGGACGTCATATCTAAGTATTAGAAACTCATTTTATTTTTTGCAATAAAACTTATCTAGTGATTCTAAAGTAGATCAAGAAATTTCAAACTGAAAATTCATTAACTAGGTCTCTTGCTCGAGGGGTAAATTTGTTATGTGCTCTTGCAAAAAGTAGGCTATATGCATTCTAATAAAATTGTCATGTGTTCTTGCAAAAAGTAGGCTATATGCATTCTAAATTGATTACTTATATTGTTAATTAAAATGTTTTATTTTCTTGAACATTAATAAAATTAATGAAAAAAGATTACACCTATAGGCTAATACTATACAAGTTCTCGTGCCTCTTATTTGTTGGTGTTAGGCGTATTTTTTTAGGGCAATTTTTGCATTCACATCCTCTTGACCCTTATGAAAAAAATTCCAAAGGAAATAAAACTTATAAAGTAGTATTTTAAAGAGAGTGAAAATGGTGCATGGTTACTTGTGTCTTTTTGTGCATGTTGGATTTATAGTGAGATATACTAAAAACGATTTCTCTTAAAATTATTCATTCCACATTTTCAAGATGATCCCTGAAAACTGACCCAAATAAAGTGCACCCAGCACAAATAAAAGGTTAAACGAACTTGTATGGAAAGTAGCCTGTAGGTTAATTTTTTTTAAGAGATGTTTCTTGTGCATCAAAATCGCAAGAATTTTTTAAGGGAAATTATCACAACACATTTTGAATATCCTCAATTCGTTTTTACTGGGATGGTATACTATAAAAATCATATACTTTTAGTACAAAGATGTCACAATCATTCGTAGCTATAAAATAATAAAATCCATTACCTTAAAGTTTGCTATATAGTTTGAGAAATTATATTATGGATTTTCTATCTAATCAATGACACACCCCAACCACTTGATTCACATCTAATAGTTGATAACAAATATGATTTCCATATATCAAAAATAAATGATGTTACTGCATATGTTTTTCTTTTTATTTCCAAACTTTCTCATTTTATTGAGATTTTTCTTTTTAAATTTGTAAGATTCAAAGACTATTTCTGTTTTGGACTAAATTTGATTGCTTTAAATCTCTTTTATGTTAGATGATCTCAATTTTCTCTCAAAAACAACTCTTAATCTCTCTCAATCATCATTATTAGAGCCTTTTTAAAAAAAAATTGGCGCATTAAGTTACTCTTGAATTGGAGAGAGAGAGAAATGTGAAGAAGTGTGATGTCAGCAGCTTTAAAACCCAGGATCATTTCCTGAATAAGGAGAATGGCCAAGGTATGTATTTTCGGATTTTGGCGGAGCCGAAGGATGAAAGTTGCAACGTTTTAAATGAGGAAAGAGGCAGGAAAAATAACACTATGTATTCCTTCAACTTCTATGTTTTAAATATTTTTTAAGCTACACCACTTGTGATCTAGACATTTAGAGTGCTCAATATTTTTAGACATTTAGATACCCTTATCTTAAAGTATAGTAATTTTTTATTTAAGGATATTTTAAGTAATTAGTCAAGGGTAAACTAAAAATTTTTAATAAAAACAAAAACATTTTTTAACAATAGTGGACAATGACATCACCGATATGGTGTGTGACATCACCCACAAGTTGCAATAATTGTTTTAACTACTAATAAAATGCCACTATTTATTTATAAAACTATCCATTCTACCTTTCTAAATGACCAAAAATACCCCTACTTAAAAAAATTTGTATTACAATTCAAGGGTATTTTAATGTCAAAAAATATTGAATACTTTAAATATCTACACCAACAAGTGGTGTAGCTTACCAAAACCCTTAGATTTCATGCTAATGACCCCACATCATAAACCTTTTTTGTCCTTC